TGTATCACTGCCTGAGAAAAAACCCCACAATCCAGTATAGAAATCAAACTGTGATTCCAGAGTCTTTTAAGTGGGTAAAAAGGACCCAAGAACTTTGTTTTATATGGAACACTTTTTTTTACACCACCTTCAAAAGTGCTTAATGGTAGGTTTGTTCGCGATAAGTGAGCATGCTCTGCTTTTTCAACCTGCGGGAAGAGACTTCCACCCAGCACACCTTCTCTTAGAAACTGTGTTCTACCGAAACATAGCGGTTTATCTGTTAGCCGGGGTAGGTCTGTGCTAGTGTTTTCCACATTTGTCATCTTCAAGGGATGATATCCCATCCACAGTGGGCGCCACTTTGTGCTAATAGCCGGTTTCCCTTTCGGTAAGCAGGTGATCGTGTATATACTTAGATTGGCTTCGTTTTAACGTTCTAGCCTCTCTGCCTCTCTGCACTTCAGGTCCTTAGGCTATTTAAAAACTATTGAGTTTTGGCAAACACCGACTGAAATGTGTATGGCAACTGCTTTCCTGAGCAAGCGTGATTTGATTTATGGCTGTTCCAGTGCTAAGGTTGCTCTCACATTGTAAGTGAACAAAACCTTGCTGTTTTTAAAGGTCACTGTAACTTGAGGTTCAAATCACCGGCACAATTTGACTAGTCCACTTCTGAAGCTAATAAGAGACCACGGCTTTCTCTGTTAGTCTCATTGTAATATCAATAAAGTGACTTTCAATGAAAGATCGATGTTCTTTTGATGCATAACTCCCTTCAGTCCTGTTTTTCTCCTGGCCTCCGTCTGTCTTTCAGAAGCCTTGTGGGGGTATGGGCAAGGGGTGTTCTTTTCTGTCCTGCACTGTCCTCACAGGGCCGTCAGCATGTTGAGATGCAGTGGTCCTTCAGGAGAGCCTGTGTGCTGTCTGTTGGGTGATTTCCTTAGCTGGACAGCAGGCAGAGCCCCCTCCATCTACGCACCTGCTTTGCCTCATCTTTTTGCACTTTCTCCCTGACCCTAACAGGGATCCAGGTCCTGTATCCTGACCTAGAGCCCAGGCAGTGGGCTATTTAACAAGCTTACCTGTGTTAGGCTCTAAAACATGGGCCTCAGAAGGCTGTTTAAGCTCATGAGTTCATAGACTGAAAAACTGCTCCACCTGCCGCTTCTCCCAAGCAGCCATTTCACCCACCAGTCTTATACATACACATTTTATATATCTATATCTATATCTATATCTATATCTATATCTTTTATATATACATTATACACATACACACCACACACACTCACTATTGATTTCAGAGGGAAAGGGAGAAAGAAACATCAATTGAGAGAGAATCATTGATTGGCTGCCTCCTGCACGCCCCCCACTGGGGATCAAGCCTGCAACCCCGGACATATGCCCTGACTGGGAATCAAACCATAACCTCCTGGTTCATATAGGTCAATGCTCATCCCCTGAGCCACACTGGCTGGGCCCATCCCCTAGTCTTTACCCTGGAACTTACACTTGCCTTGCCTTTAGCTTTTAGTCTGCTGAAGAAAAAAAGTAATATGTGTTGAGGCCGGTTAGGCTCAGTGGATAGAGCGTCGGCCTGCAGACTGAAAGATCTCGGGTTTGATTCCAGTCAAGGGCATGTACCTTGATTGCGGGCACATCCCTATTGGGGGTTGTCCAGGAGGCAGCTGATCAATGAATCTCTCATCGATGATTCTGACTCTCTATCCCTCTCTCTTCCTCTATGTAAGAAATCAATAAAACATATTTAAAAAAAAAAAGTATGTGAGAAAAATGGGTTAAGGGCTTGTACATGAATTATAAGTAAAAAACAAACACACACACACGCACACACACACAAAACACAAAACGGTGATTACATGGAGCTCCATTTCTTTTTTTTAGCTCCATTTCTTGTATTTATGTTTAGACATATTTAATAGTTCATTCAGATGAGCACTGAAACAGTGACACGGTCAGCTGAGTGAAAGCAAAGTCTAGTTCAGAAAGAGCAGAGGTTGGAGCTCACATGCCACCTGTGACTGAAGGTACCACCTGGAACTTCATGCCCAAGGGGAGGGGACCTCCACTGCGGCTCCAGGGGAGTGAGCGCGGTGAGCAGTGCGGTAAGACTGCCGCATGCTGTCCGTGCCAGCCGTCCCGAGAGAGGCACCAGGCCTCCTGGAGCCACATCCCCTGGAAGCACTGGAAAAGGGTGTATCTCACAACACATGGCACCTCTTGAAGCACAAATCCGCAAAATTAAATTAAATCTCCAGTCGGGGTCACTGGAGGAAGTTAATTCTCCAAATAACTGAAGTGTGCAGGTTTGACCTCACAGCTTTACCAGAAAAGCAGACCGAGAGACAGTGGTGAGGAAGCAGGAGAGGCTGCACGGGGAGTATATAATGAATGAGACATGGAACCCAACATAAAGTAGAAATAAGGCAACACGAGATTCACTGGCAATGAAGACTTTGGCTGTAATTAAAGGAGATGTAGACGTCAAATTCCTCAAGAAGGAAACTTTCGAAGGCAGGGACATGCTGAAGGCTGGGCTCCATGCTTTTGAAAAGAAAGAGTGAAAGTAGAAAGTGGGAGAGATACGGAGACTTGCTACGAGGATTCAATAATTAAAACCGAATTGATTATTTCAGAGACGTGGTCTTGTGTCCTTTCACACTTAACCAAAGGCAAACTCAGAACCATGGCAGCTGAGCTCACCTTGGGGCTCATCCAAGCTCCCGGATGCTTTACATGTGGCCCATCACCTTGGGTCGGCAATGGCCTTCTTCCTTACCACCGTAGGCATCCTGAAAACAGCCCTTCCTTAGACTGCGAATTCCCCAGAGGATCCTGGTGAGTTTGAAGCAAACAGAGGGCCCTGGACTGATGCTCCCTGCCTCCTGGTCCTCTGAGCTCTCTGGCCCTTCTCTGGCAGCTCAGGATCTAGCCAAGCTTTGTGCCTCAGACAGTCTATCTGTAGTGAAACCTATACTCACCACATAATACAGGGTTGGGCAAAAGTAGGTTTATGGTGTGAGTATGCAGAAGTTTATTCTAGTATTATTTTCCATATGAACAACTGTAAAGCTACTTTTGCCCCACCCTGAGCAGCTGCCTCACAGTGTAACATGTAGACCAGGTGTGAGTACTTGACATAAATATATGTAAGTTAGGGCTGAATAAATGTATATTTTCATTGGTTGGCATCAGTAAGATAGTTGTCACGTTGTGCCCCAGAATGAGACAGGTGTTCTGCAGGCAGGGAGAAAATAGGCTAGGTTTATTAGACGCCCGATGCATAAAATTCAAGCAAGGGGCTCAGCCCTCGCACTGCAGCGGCTGCCCCGGCCCTTGCAGCCCTGGCTTCCTCTGGAAGGTTGTTCGGCTGTCCTGTCTAATTAGCATGTTACACGTTGATTATTCTAGACTAAGCTCTCTTGCAAAAAAAGAGCAAACCAGCCAGGCTTTAAATTTAAGAAACAGAAATATTATTGGTGTTTATTATACCAACACACTTTTCCACAGTCACTTATCCCAAGAGGTAACAGCTAATCCCTGTTCAAAGATGTAGAAACAGAGGCTCTGAGAGGACCTAACGTGGTCAAACCTCATCCTCAGGCAGAGGCACAGGTAGCATTGGAATCCAGACCTTACTTGGGAGGACATGCTTCAAAGCTTTTTCTAAAAAGCCCTCCACTACACCGTGACGCCTGCTGATGGGAGGACACCTGGGAAAGCAGCGGGAAGGAGGGAATGAGCGCGCGATCCTGACTCCCAGTGGTGGTCACCGCAACATGTCGGAACACCATTGCCAGACCCCTCGTTGTGTACATTTTTTAATGTCAGTGTAAACACATGGCATATCAAAATGAAAGTATCGATATTTAAAAAATTAACATCTGCTTTTAAAGGGAAAGCACACACATTATAGAAAGCTTGGAAAATACTGAAATCTATAAAGGAAGTTAAATCACCTAGAATGCTGTTAGCCAGAAATAATCATAGCTCATAGTTTCGTATATTCCCTTAGTTTTTTTCCTGTTAATTTTCTTTTTTACACAGCCAAGCTCAGAAGATACACGGTTTTTAAGTATGGTTAACAAAGACCTGCGTGGATGATGACGAAGGTCTTGGTAACAGACAGTATTTGCCATTCAGATTATTCAGTAGGTTTTCAAGAGGCAGGAAATAATCAACCCTGTACCCATCCATTCATATGACTATCAAAACATCTGTAAGCCTTAAGCCTTAAAGTTTCTACCAAGATGAACTCTGACATGGATTACCATAGTTTCTTTTTTTGCATCACTTTAGGTATAAAACATATGATAAGAATACTCCACGCAGCCCTCGCTGGTTTGGCTCAGAGGTTAGAGTGTTGGCCCAAGGATTAAAGGGTTCCGGGTTCCGATTCTGGTCAAGGGCACCTACCTTGATTGCAGGCTCCCCAACCTTGTTGGGGCATGTGTGGGAGGCAACCAATCGATGTGTCTTTCTCACATCGATGTTTCTCTCTGTCTCTCCCCTTCCCTCCCACACTCTCTAAAAGTCAATGGGGGGAAAAATCCTTGGGTGAGGATTAACAAAACAGAAAAAAAATATGCCCTACATAAAGCTTTCCATATCACGCAAAAGCCTGTCTAGGGGAGGAATGACAGCAGCTGCCGCCTGATGAGAAGGTTTTAGTATCCTACTGTGAAAAGTATACAACGTGCCTCACACATTCTGCACACCTAACTTCACATAAAACAGGGTTAACAAGAAAATAAGACCGGACAATGGCTCAAGGAAGTTCTAAATGGTTAACAGAACTGATCTTAGCCTAATAAAAATTCCAGAGAATTTATTATCTAAACTGAAAACAGCAACTTCAGATGTACATACAGTAATAAACCTTTACAACAGCTGTTAAGGAAAAGCGGTGAAGCAAGTTTACACGCATTTCTGAAGGCGAGCCAAGAGCGAGTGCGCTCGCTGGAATGTCGATCCCGTTCACACGGCGCCCTCCGGAGTTAAATGCTCATGACACACTGGATGAACTGAAAGAGAAAAGCCAGCATTACCACGCAGACCTCTTACACGTACACACTCTAACGTATGTCTGTGCAACTTACACTTCTGTATTCTAGTTCAAATTAATGGATTCAAAAAATCCTTTATAAAATAAAAGTAAATGATGTATGGAAAGGCTCATTTCTTTGAGGAAAGCAGTCTAATATAAAATCCGATGGGTGCCCGGCCAGGCTGCTCAGTGGGACAGAGTGTCTTTCCCTTAACATCAAACGTTTCTAGGCTCGATCCTGGTTGTACAGGAGGCAATGGTCCATGTTTCTCTCACATTGATGTTTCTCTTCCTCTCTCCCTCCCTCTCTCTTTAACATCAGTCAACATCCTTAGGGGAGGGTTAAAAAAGAAAATCCAATGGGTTTCTCACATCAAAGCTCACCTCAGAGCTTACTCCAGGGTATATAATATTACTATTTAAATTCCAAATACGACCTAAGACTCAAGAAAATGGGCATGGCCAAGGTTCCTACTCACAAATAGAAATAAGAACTCAGCTTACACATTCCTATCACATGGAGACCTCCAAACTGCACAGGATTACCCCGTTACTCTCACGGAGCTCCTTAAAAACAGTTTATACTCCCTTCCAATCTGCTTAATCAATCACTGGAATGGTAGCATGCGAGTGTATGTGTGCACAGAAACAGCTCGGAGCCTCCTGCAGTTCAGACCCAGCTCAGAAGCATCAGCGTGCACTGTGAAGCGTTTGCTTGCTCTGCTACTAAACACACACCAACGGATGGGGATTTTTACCCATTTTCTCTTTCAGTCTTTTCACACCTGTGAGGACCGTGCACTGCTAATCCATGCAGCATTCCTGCAAGGCCCCGCTGACCACCCCCATCTCAGGGGAAAGGAAGCTAAGGATCAAGAGGTCTAGGTATCTCTTAAGTGGCCCCCTCTGAGGCCAGAGGCTGTGCACTTTCCACTCCACAGGCTGCCTCCTTTGGAAACAGTGACAGGACTGTCACCTGAGAAGTTGCACGTGAAAGAGAACACATCTTTGAGTGGAAGAAATAAACATAATTACACACAAGCCTTTGCAAACTGCACCCATAAGTGCAGCAGCTGCTGAGTTGCATTCGTATATATTTTTGTATTTTGTGATGGAGCAACATTTAATTTATTCAGTTATCACAGTGACTTTATTCTAAACACAATTAAAAAAAAAATCAATGGCTTTAAAGAAAAAAAAAATGGAGAAACAACTAAACATCTCCCTAGCTCTGTTAAGTCTATCCAGCGAATGCAATCAAAGGTGGCCCTTGGGTACCTTTACGCTGGTGAAGGCCTTATCCTTCCTCATTTAGTGTGGCTGTTTCAGAAACCCTGGAGTTTGTGCCTGAGGTTCTCCTTGAAGGACATGGGGGTGTCACCTAGTGCCCTGAGCTCTGAAAGTTCCTTCTCAGTGACTGAGATGAAGGCAAAGGCAGATATAACACTTGCACGATGCTTTTCAAGGACATTTCTGATTGAAATCTCACAACAGTCGGGTGAAAAAAGCATTACTTCCTCCTCTTCCCTCACAGGCTCAGAGCAGAAACCTGCCCGGGTGACCCAGCCAGAATGGGACAAGCTGGGCTTTGACCCAGGCCTTTTTAATACACAGCAAACGGTGTTCTATGGGTAAGATGAATAATAAATGAAATTACTGATTTTGAATGGTAGCCCCTCATCACTGAAGCCTGGATCACTCTGACATCCTTAAGATGCTCCTAACAGTTAACTTTAAAGGGCATCCCATTTGGTGTACATCTTATGCAGCCACTCAGTTCTGAATTTACTGAGACTTACATCATCATAGGGGAAATTCACAACACCCTGCTGAGCAGTATCCCGCCTTCGGAAGTTATCTGTAAAACAAGACAGTAAATTAAAAAAAAATTATATATATCTATATCTATATCTATATCTATATATATATAAAATTTGAACTCAAAATAGTTAATTATTTTGGCTTTCGGTTCACACTGCATATCATTTAAATTGTACAACCAGCCAAAATAACCAAAACACCAAAGCAAAGCAGCCAACTGTATGAATAAAAATAAAAGACAAAGTAATACAATGTGCAGAGGTCGGCCATCTGTTTGTCTCTTTCAGTGCGGAGCTGGAAGAAAACACTTTACCCCAAAGTCAGTAAAAGCTGTGCAGCTTCTGAGGCCATTTCTTCATTTTGATGAAAGCACAGATTTCAAAGTTCTTAACGTCACAGATATTGCTTAACTGGGAAAGAGGTGGTGTATGTACTATGGCAAATGGGCTGTGATAAATATTCCACCTGAGCTCTGCCCTGTTGAAAAGGATTTGCTTTAAAAAAAAAAAAATCTCTCAAATTTTTGTTTAGGATCAATAAAAATCATAAAACCCGATATTAAAAAGAATAAAAAGAAGTGGAACAAGAAAATATATACAAAAGGAAAAAAACAGAGGGAATAGAAATGTAATAGATTATTGATGTCTCATTGTTTAAGAAATACATCTAAAACGGATGACCACTATTTTAAATTACTTTCCATAGGAGGAAATAAGAATGAGAACTACAAATGAGTAATTCACTCTTTTCAGATATTTCACATACTACTAAGGAGACATCACAGGATACTCTGGTCAAAAAATTAGTTTGTCATGTTTTGGAACATTTCAGTAACATTTTGTTAGGGTTTTTTTTTTGTTGTTTTTTTGGCAGCTCGTACAAATCTGAAAAAAAATCTGAAAAAATAATTCTGCTAGATGAGTTTCATAGAAATGTTAAAAAGCCACTTATGTTGGGGGGGGGGAAGATGAGGACAATAAAAGTGTAGAAGCACTGAGAAGTGAACGGTCATAGAAAGGCGTGTCTTCCTGACCCATGGGGACGCCACCGCCTCAGAGAACACACCTGTCAGGGCGCGCAGCTTGACACAGCAGGCGATGTAGTCATCGAAGGTGATCTTCCCGTTGGTGCTGTATCGCTTTGCAATTGAATTCACGGCCTGGGGACTCAACCGAAATCCTGAACGGAAGAAAATTCGTCCAGCCAGAAAAGTGAAAGGATGGCAGAATGACCATTAAAAATAATCAAGCACTACGTTTTAAGACTGAGGGTATTTAATACGCAACAACTTCTAGAATACAGAAGATTTGGAAATTAAAAAAGAAAAAAGACCCCTCCCCATACCCACCCATGGTTGTCAGGGCCTTCTGCAGCTCTTGAGGATCCACGGTGCCACTCCTGTCGCTGTCAAAACTGGTGAAGTGCTGTCTCCAGCCGTTCAGTACAGACCAGAGCTCCTTAAATTCACTGAAACCCATGGTACCTGACAGATCTCTCTGAGCTGTCATTAAGGATTCAGAGCATCTTTTTTTAGGGCAATGTTTCCTAATGATTAAATCAAAGATCAAGGATAAGGAAATTCAATGTTCTTTCTGCTACAAGGGTTAAACATGTCCCAGGGCCTCTGGGAAAAGGGCTGAGTCCACCTTTTCATGGTGGAGGAAAAGATAATCTATGTGATAGGATTACAAGGAAATGGGATGGTCATTGCAAAGCAACAAGTAAAAAGCACTCTTGTTACTGGAACTGGTTGCGCTTCCTGGATGCCCCAGGCCAGTGGTCGGCAAACTCCTTAGTCAACAGAGCCAAATATCCACAGTACAATGATTGAAATCTATTTTGAGAGCCGAAAACCGACTTCTGCGCATGGGCCATGAAGTTTCAATCGCACTGGATGTGACATTTTGTGGAAGAGCCAGTCAAGGGGCCAAAGAGCCGCATGTGGCTCTTGAGCCACGGTTTGCCCACCACTGCCCCAGGCTATGCAGCTCACCCTTCTGTCCTGGAGCCCTCGTGGGGCCTCACACTCCCTTGGTGAGCCCTCCCAGAGCTATGGTTTTCACTTTAGCAGATGAGGTGGGATGGAAGGTACCCGAGGGTCAGGACTTGCTAAACTGAGTCCAACAACTGTGCTGTGAAAGCTCCACGGCTTGAAGGTCAGCTGCAAGTCGCACAGAACAATCACTGCTGAAGCGAGAAAGCTTCCCTGACACTCCAAGTTCTACTCTGCTCTCCTTGGCTGCTTCGCTGAATTCTTGAACAACCGACATCTTACTAAGCTCCCTTCCTTTCTCCAATTTCCATCTTAAAAGATAAGGATTTAAAAACAAATATATATATATATATATATATATATATATATATATATATATATATATATAGTGTGTGTGTGTGTGTGTGTGTGTGTGTGTGTCATTTATCACTGTTTCCCATGTATTCATTATTAGAGGAATCCCTTTAGGAGGAATTTTTGTGACAAGAAAAAATACTCCAAACAGCAATGCAGGTAAAGGATACATCCAGCATGGAAACCATAAGCCGACACGTCTCCAGGTTAAAAGCTGTTAAATCAAGGAAAGGGCATACCTATTAATACAATTTCAAAAATTCACATTGCATTAGATACATTCAAATTAATTTGGAACATGATTTACACACTTCTGCTTCACGAGAAACGGGGCAGTGTTAGCGTTGAAACAAGAATGGTCCTACAGCGATAACTGTTGAAGCTGAGAGATGGGTACAGAGATGCTCACTGTATAATTATCTCTAGCTTGGATAAGCTTAACGTTTTCCTTAGTATAGTCTTTTAAAAATATTATGTACTTTCTTCCCTTTGAAACTGTAACAGTGAGTTCAATTCAACCAGAACGAACCACAATGTATTCCATCCACCACTGCGAGCAGGAAGGCAGGGGTGATTTATGACTGCTCCTCCTTGACAGCAGGTTTGCTAGTTTTCTGTCTAAACCTATTTTTCTTTCTTTTCCCTAAATTTAATGTCAGGCTCTGAATGGCAGCCTCTTACCTCAAATAGCCTGGCCTCTGTTCATACACAATAAGATTATATATAGAAACAGGCAAACATGCTTGCGAGAATTGTGTTAATAAATAAGAGCGCTCTGGAGCAATGAGGACTTGGATGCTCCTTCCTAGTAAGAGAGGCTTCGTAGAAACAGCAACATTTAGGCCAAACCTCGAATGACAGAAAGATGGGGGACATTTGGTGACAGCCAAATACAGCTAGGATGCAGCCAAATACAGCTAGGATCCAAGCAAAGATGCAGGAGAGTCTGGGGCAGTCAAAGGAAGTGGAAGGATGTAGGTACCTTTCCATGAGGCTACCTTACCTTGAATTCCTGCTAACCTGTTTAGCTTTTATTTTTAGGCACCAAGGAGCTACTTCAGATTTTTAGAGGAGGACAGTGACATGTTAGAGTCGTTTCAGAAAGAACAGAAATCTGGTCTTTTTTTGTGTGAGGTTTACAAAGGGAGGGACTGTGATGGGTAGTGAACAAAACTGAACAGAAAAATCCCCTATTCCAGACCATTCTAGGGGCTAGCATGCTGATGTCTAATCAGTTTGGGTGAGGAAACGCTCGCTCACTATTACTTGTATTTCCCCTCCGGGAAAAGCTTCTGTTGCGAATTCCGTTTTACGTAATTGCAAAACAATCTTCTCTGTCACTGTACCTTTCCTCTCCTTCTCCAGTCCATTCTGCTAGCACGGCTCATGCACCGTTTCTTCCAGGAGGAATCCACAGGGTAACGCACCTCGCAGGAGGGCCCTGCCTCCAGCCGTTTCTCTGCTGCCCAGAGGAACAGCCACACACGGGGCAAACACAAGCTGAGTGACTGTCTTAGCGATGAGTCACTGCCCTCATCAGCTCCACCTCTCGGTGTGGCCGCTTCCTATCACACAGGTCACAAAGGCACCTGCAGGTACTGGGCTGGAGTCGGCCCCCTCACCCCGGGCCTGTGCTGTTTCGGTGAGGAAGCTGGGTTTGATATAAAGGTTTGGCCTAAATGCTGCTGTTTCGACAAAGCCTCTCTTACTAGGAAGGAGCATCCAAGACCTCACTGCATCTTACTCCAGAGCGCTCTTCGTTAACACAATTCTCGCCAGCGTGTTTACCTGGTTCCATACATAATCTTATTGTGTGTGAACAGAGGTCAGGCTATGTGAGGTAGGAGGCTGCCATTCAGAGCCTGACATTAAATTTAGGGAAAAGAAAGAAAAATAGGATGAGACAAAAAACTAGCGAACCAGCTGTTGATTGATAGTCAAGTGAATGTGTCGTTTCTGTATTACAAAACTGGCTCTGACAGCTGTCACGTAGGATGGCTCTGTGGTTCGGGACAAACCCCCCCCCACCCCTCCACCACCAGATGAGGGGAGTGAGCCCACGGAGCTCATCACGTGGTCCCGGTGACTCAGGGAATACCACCTCCTGAGCTCACAGAGTTCCGATGACTCAGGAAATGTCCTCTCTAAAGCCACACCCTGAAGCACGACTTTCTCAGATGCTATTTTTACTAGGACTGCTCTCCGAGGATGTATAGGCCACTGGGTGAGTCAGATTTACAGCCTACCACACCTCTTCTACTGAGTGTGTGTGGAACAACAGTGTGCGCTCCCCTGGGTGAACCCTGTCATTAGACTGTCCACGAGTCTCAGCCGTTTGACGTTAACAGTGAACAATGTACAAGTACTGCCTCAAAAAAAAAAAAAAATCCCCTCATCTGGAACGTGCTTCTTTTGTGTAGGATCAGATTAAATGGCAGAAATGTAAAAGCTTCCTCCTTTGTGCTAATTCCCCCAACTAGGACATATTAATAGGAGATTGATGGCACATGAAACGAAGGATAAAACCAGAAATGCAAATAGGCTAGAAAGAGAGCCAACTAGTAATTACGCCGTGTCAAACAGCAAAAAACGTGCAACTACAAATCCTCAGGCGTGCATTTTCGTTCGGGAATTTTAAAGCACAGTTTCCCAGGCAGTGGGGGCTTCGATTTGATATTCTGCCTCAATGAACCACTGGCAAAGAAGTTGGCAGCTAAGGCACCTCAGTCAGGACACTATCATGTACCCGGTTATCTGTCATGGCCCAGAGCTGATCTGAAAAGAGCTGTGTGGGGGCATGAGAACCCCGGGTCAGGCCCTAACCGGTTTGGCTCAGTGGATAGAGCGTTGGGCTGGGGACCTAAGGGTCCCGGGTACGATTCCAGTCAAGGGCATGTACCTTGGTCGCAGACACATCCTCAGTAGGTTTGTAGGAGGCAGCTGATAGATGTTTCTCTCTCATGGATGTCTCTAACTCTTTATCCCTCTCCCTTCCTCTCTGTAAAATAAATAAATAAATAAATAAATAAATAAATAAATAAATATCAATAAAAAAATAAAAATATAAAAAGAACCCCTGGACAGGAGGCAACCTCTTTCCCATGCTTTCCTATCTGCAACTCGACGCAGAGCTCAAAGGGTAGGGCAGTGGTGTGAGCGCTAAGTTATAAGCACTGTGAGGAGCTGTGCAGGAGGGGAAGGAGGACTTGTGGACAGAGTTAGAAGTTAGGAAGGCCATGTCTCAGCCCAAACACATTCTCTGAAGTGGAAAGAGGAAAGACCCGGGAAAGCCACGGCAAATATTCGTGTTGCCAGCAGCATGCTGAGATAGGAATGCAGACCTGGCTCCTTGAAGGCCAGGGGTGGATGACAGAACCCGCCACTCAGAGCCAGGAGGGCAGGCAGGCCACTAGGGGACCAAGCCACTCAACGCCCTTAGTGCCACCAGGCTCGGGACAGAGTAAGCTCTCGGCAAATAGTACATTAGCTGTTGTGCACGAAAAAGGGACCATCACAAGCTACCAGGGAGCCACATGGCCGGCCTGGCACACTCAATGACCGAAAGTGACCGCACAGGATGGTCTGGTCATAAATTCCTACCTGGGCCAGCCCTGGGGGTAATCACATCCCAGGCCTGTACCTTCCTTCGCAAAGGTCAATCTTTACCCTGAGTGCGCCCGGTCCACTCTGATGCATCTGGGATAACATAGCTTTGAAATGCCAGTAATTTTCTTCCCCTAGCCCTGGAAGGCACAGCCTCCAGCACCAGAGCACAAGACACACAGCACTCATTGTAACCTAATTCCCCACATACCAGCTCTACGTGCTACGAATGCTAATTATTAACCGTCCTGTACCCACTGAGGTGACACCATGTGCTTCTCTATTCTGCCCTTTACCACCCAACCCTAGAGATGTCCCCACTTTGCTTTCTCCCGCCTCCTTAACCTACCACCCATGGACTCCATGTACCTTTCTTACATTTGCCCCCTTGATTCCTAATTCATAAAAGGAACTACAAAACTGCCCGTCTCTGGGGCATTTTCTCAATTTGTTGGGATTTTGCTTCCGGCATGACCTCAACATTTTGCTTAAAAAAAAAAACCTCATGAAACTTTTCTATAGGCGGAACATTTTCCTGTCCTTAAAGACACCTAAGCTGGAAGGTTTCATTTCAGCACTTACCTGGCCCCCTGTGAAGGAGAACACGCGAACTGTGAACCCAGTTACACGGAACTCAAATCTAAGAAACCCACTCAATTGGCAGGTGGTGTGAAATGACTTATTATTAAGCACTGCATTCACATTCACACTTTGAAATAATAAACGGAATTTAGCTTTTGAAATTCTAAATGTTGCAGGATCGGGAACACTCAGTTAGTTTCCTTGAAGGCTGTAATCACAGGCGACAGCTAAAATGTGAAAGGCAAGCGCACGTCAGGAGAAACTCTGGGGCTGTCAACTTACGTTTGTATCCACCTGCGATGCCCGACTCTGTCAGGCATTTCTGCAGTTCATCAGCATCTATTTGTCCATCCTTTTGAAAACAAAAATGGGAAGAGAACTCACAATAGTCATATGTACCATCCAGTTCTCTGTGTACTTTCAGTATTCAATGTATCAATAATAACCAAGAAAATGAGTTACTATCATACATGACATTTTTAAAAAAGAAATACGTTTCAAAAATAGGCATTCTCTTCATCCAAAAATGATTGTATGATAAAAGGCAAATCTTCCACAAATGGATAATTAGGGCCGTAACAAACAAAACAATGCATTTTTAAATATCAATTTCAGACTACTTTAAGTATTTATTACACAAGAATTAACAAAGTCAGAAAGCTGCTTACACCTGTACTTCATTGTTACCAATACCGTTTCATCATTTCCTTTAAATTCCTGAATTAGGTTTGGCACAAACACTCTCAAGTGTAAGGTTCCCCTCTTATTAAAAGACTGAGGTGAATTCCGTTTCTTCCATTGATACTTGATATTTTCAAGTGAATGAATAAAAGGAGTTTCTTACTTGAACTTCTCTTGACTCCCCTCTGAGCTAGGAAAGTGCCAGAGTTAAGCATTTTGAAATAAAATAATTTATGTAGCTGCTTAAATCCTTACTCTAGCCTTTTCGGTAGGGGAAAGCAGGGTACAGAGCTGACATCATTAAATGAAAGGCATGATTCAGAGAGACCTTCCTGTACACATTGCTTATAGTGTGGTGCATGGTGTCTTCAGATCATAACTATACATATATATGTATGTATGTGTGTGTGTGTGTGTATATATATATATATATATATATATATATATATATATATATGGAAGATACAGGCTCCCCGTGCCTAGACCAAAAAGCCAGGTATATGTTATTTTAAGGGATTTAAAAACCAAACACCTAATTCCTCAAGTCCATAGGTATTATAAGATCTAAATGGGGAGCAGGGTCAGCAATTGGAAAGGCTGGGGCTCTGCTGACACGGGCCAGGCTGTGAAAGCTAAGCAGGTGGGGTCACTTACAGGGCTGGACGCTCAGGCAATCTAAGAATGTGAGTCTCGAGCTTTGCTGTGTCTTGTGGTTTCAAAGATACGGATCATTAACAGATGAAGGAGATACGTCAAGGGAAGCTCTTTCCGTTTTAGACTCAATTTTCCACTCCATTTCTCAAACTGAGTTTCTTAGAGTGCTGTTCTAAAACGTGGTCTTAGGCTTTTATCCCACGTTTCTACGGCGCTCACACATTAAGACGGTGTTAGTTCTAGCTTTTGATCAAAACAAACACATGGGGAGGGGTTGGGGATGGGAATGGGGGATGAGGACAATTATGTGACACCATTATCAATAAAGAAATTAAAACAAAACAAAACAAAACAAACAAACAAAGCTAATTGAATTTAGATGAGCGAATGCCTCTGCACATAGCTGGGCTGTACCTGCAGCACGCTGACCATGCACAGTGACCTCCTGAGCCAGGGAGGAGACCTCCTCATTGTCCTCCTGCACCCGTCAAACCACTCAGAATTAGTGAAAGATGTGGGTAAACAGGCCACAACCCCTAATAAGGACAAGGAAGGCTGACCTAGCAACAGCACCTCCATCAAAATGAAACTAAACTGTTCACAAGATCAACTTCCTGATTGTAAGAAGACAGGAGTACCTTTCTTGCTTTGAAGCGGGTGGGTTTTTACCGTAAATACTCATTTCCTAAGGGGGTAACTGGTTAACACTCAAGCTCAACCCACAAAAAGTTCCCACTAGAATCTGGCTGTAGAATTCTACTAGCTTATCAAGCCTTTACGTTGTACAAACAGAGGTTTATGGCCATCAGCTTGGCAATTCCTTCTCTGGAAACCACCGTGGACCCTGACAACTCAGGTCTAAAGACATCTTTCCACCTCACAGATCTTCTAAGAGTATTAGTAATCCCCTCCTGTGTTCAATCGGACCCCAATTCAATGACAAGTTTAGTTTTGAAGTGAATTAAGGTCCATACTGGAACACTTTGTCCTAATTTGTTCTGAAGATTCGGAAATAAGTAACTAAGAAGTTCCCCCTCTTGTCTCTTTGACAGAAGCAAAGGGATTCTTTTCCAGAGGAAAGACCATTTCTTTTTTCTGGCCACTGTAACAAAGACTAATACGAATATAGACTCTCACGATTCTTAATATGAAAGGGAAAAGCTAACCTGTCCGGCTACTGCAGCAAAGTAGCCATACAGCGGATCCTGCGTTTGTCCAGGAAACGTAGGCCCTCCCGGGGCCCCTCCGTACTGGAACACAGAAAACACAAGTTCAGAATCATTTATTCCGCTGAACCAAGTTTCATTCCCTCCCCACTGGGCGCCTTTGTGCAAAGCCGGGCGATGATGACCCGCCCTTCCCATCCTGGACCTCCCCACCACCACAGACCCCAACTGCAGCCCCCTTCCCCTTCCTTCCAGGCTCACTCAGGCAGAATTTGCAAACCGGAGGCTCGGACCAAAACAAATGGTCCTGGCCTGACATCGGCATAAGTGAAGCAACTTAACTCCCCCTTTTTAACCTTCAGGTTCCTGAAGTCCATGCATCCTAGGCAAGCACTTTAAAGCAAACTTAAATTTATTTTTTAGAGCGTCCTGTGGTGTTTTCAAAGCGTTTGGGGACAGGTGTAGCCAGGAACGGGGTAAGGTGTGTCAGGGTGGGGCTGTTTGCCCGGGAGGGAGCACTCTGTCTTGGAAACAGTTCCCAGGACGACGTGCATCCCGGGCGCGGGGCGAGGGGACCCTCCTCCGGGGGAGCCTTGGACTCTGGCGATCGTTTCTGACCTGTCTCCCCCCCCCCCCCCCCACACACACACACACTTTCTTTTAAAGGAAGAAGTAGATCTCCGGTCCATTCTAGGTTAAAATGGCTGTAGCTCGTAGGGAAAACACAGAGGGAGGGGGAAGGAAGCCGACACCCCTTTGCGCAGTTTCACGCCCCGTTATCCGAGAGTCGCGGGTGGGCTTCTGGGGGGTCCCCATCCCTCCGTGGGGAGGCGGAGGGGGACAGAGGGAAGGAGAGAGCCAGAACAACAGGCCGGCAGGGCTGGGCGAGGCAGCGGGCAGGCAGAAGCCGGGGCGGGAGGCGCCGGGAGCCGCCCCGGCAAAGTGGCCCAGTGTGGTCTCCGGCGTCCCCGGTGCCCCAGGGCCGCGCGGGCTGCACTTACCCCACCTGGGTAGTACCCGCCGCCGGCGCCGGGGTGCCCGCCGGGGTGCCCGGGATGCCCGCCGGGATGCCCAGGGTGCCCGGGGTAAGCCATGGTGCAGACTGCGCCGCCGCCGCCGCCCGCGCCGCCCGTCACCGCCCGCCCGCCCGGGCCGCACCACGCGGCGGGGGGACGCGCCCGGGGGGGGCGCGCACGGGACCCGCAGGGGACTCGGCCCCCCGCCCCCCGCGCCCGCCCCGGGCTTTCAGGGGGCGATGCTCAGGCCGGGCGTCCCCGGAGGTCCGTGTGGCACTGAGGACCCGCGAAGTCAGTCATCCCCGGCGCTGTGCCCCCCCCGCGGAACCAATGGTACAGCCCAGCATCCCCAACAGGGCCCCGGGAATTCTTTTTTCCTTCCTCTTTGGCTCACCGCTGGCTTTTTTTTTGTTTTGTTTTTGTTTTTAATGTTAAAAAACTTTATTGGAATGCAGCATCTCGGGGAGGGGCCGGATGCCTCGGGGCAGCTCCTAGGTGCTTTTGGGGGAGGAGGCGTCGTGGAAAGATCCAAATGCGAAAGCGCCTTTGCAGAAACGGGGATCAACTTCAGGAACTGGGTGCAGGGAGCACCCGGCGGGCGGGTGGTTGCAAGTTTCACTGCTGAGAAGCGGGCGGCGCGGTTCCTCGCCAGGGGCACTGGCATCGGGGGTTAAGCTGGGCGCTACGGGATGCGGCCCGGGGAGGACAGAGGGCAGGTACTGGGCGGGGCAGCCAGTCCCAGGACTTTCATAGAAAGTGAGTTTGAATTGGTGTCTGGGTGAATCAGGCGAAATGACTCAGCGACTATGTGTACAAGGAAAGTTTTAGAGCAAGCGAAGAGCGCGCTGGTAAAAAAAAAAAAAAAAAAAAAAAAAAAAAAAAAAAAATATATATATATATATATATATATATATATATATATATATATATATATATATATATATATATATATATATATTCATTGAGGCGAGAGATTGGAACTCCTCCAGGAGATTCAGAGAATGGTTTTCTTTCCATCACACGGTTTTCTCTCCCCCTCCCCCCACCCCCCAGTTGAACAGTGTGACGTTGTTTGATTGAGTATTTTTGACAGAATGTCTTTCTGATTTTTTTGTTTACGTTTTTCAAATGCATTCATGAGCAACTCACAGTATTTGCTGTCGAGGTTGCACAGAAAAGTTGAGAGTCTTCTGTACTGAACAAATGGGAACCTCTGCGGAGCGGGGATTCTGTGCTTGTTCGCCCCTGTGGACTGGGTTCCTCCACGCCCAGTTCCTGGGCGGTCTTTCATTAGGGCCATTGTTTTCCTCTTCTGCATAAATTCCCTGCAACCTTCTTTTTGGATACCCCAAACTCCAACAAAGGAAAGACCTGTATTATGAGGGGAAAAATTCTAATAGTCCCTGTCCTCTCATATCAAATAAACTATATTACTATCTGTTTTGTGTTTGATTCAGAAAGTAGTTGACTGTTTTCAAATGCCATAGCAAACATCCAGGTTGATTAGGCATTTTATGAGTCCTCTGGCCTCTGTGAAGTTTTTTATTTCTACTTTTTTGTGCATGTGTGTGTGTGTGTGTGTGTGGTAAGAACACTTGACATCTACCCTCAATTTTAATTGTACAGCAGAATATTGTTAACATGCACAGTGTTGTACCAATTTTAATTGTACAGCAGAATATTGTTACATGCACAGTATTGTGCCAATTCTTTAGGACCCTTTCATTGATTTAGTTGTCCAGTATCCATAGAGACTGTCAAAAATTGCCAGTGATGACTATATTTCAAGTCATCACTGCGGTGTTTTGGGAAAGGTTTTCAATTAGTAATAATCACACCTCAGAAAAACCCCATTGGCCTGATACTGCCACCGCCAAAGCTAGAGCCTTTTTATCTTGCATGGCTGAAACTCTATACCCATTGAACAACTCCTCATTGTTCCATACCCACTGCACATCTCTTTCTAACGCCAGCCCCTTTCTACTTTAATTGTATGATTGGCATCTTCTTTCTCATATAATTGGAACCATGCAGTACTTGTCCTTTTATGATTGGCCTATTTCACTTAGCATAGCATCTTTGAAGTTTATCCATGTAGCATATGACAGGAGAGATATATATATATGGCTGGACCCATTGTGGGATTGCTGGAACATACGATAGCTTTACTTTCAATTTTTGAGAAACTTCCATATTGTATGGTATAGTGGCTGCACCATTCCACATTCCCACCAACAGGCGCAAGAGTTCCAGTTTCTCCGCATACTTGCCAACACTTGTTGACTATTTTTTTTTTTTAAATAATAACCATTCTGACAGGTGTTAGGTGATATCTCATTGTGACTGTGATCTGCATTTCCTTGATGATTACTTTGAGCCCTTTCTCACATATATATGTTGGCCATTTGGAGTTCTTCTTTGGAGAAATGTCTATTTAAGTCCTTAGGCCATTTTTTAAAATCAGGTTATTAGTTTTATTTCTAATGAGTTGCAGGTGTTCCTTATATATGTGGGAGACTAACTCCTTATCAGATTTATGGTTTGCAAATACTTTTTCCCATTCCATGGGTTGCCTTTTCATTCTGTTGTTTCCTTGGCTGTGCAGAAGCTTTTAACTTTGACATAGTCCCACTTGTTTATTTTTATTTTGTTGCCTGTGCTTTAGGTGTCATAGCCATAAAACCACTGCCAAGGCCAATGTCATGAAGCTTTCTCGCTATGTTTTCTTCTTGGAGTTTCACAGTTGTAGGCCTTACATGTATGTGTTTAATTTGTTTTGAGTTGATTACGTATACGGTGTAAAATAAAGGTGTAATTTTATTCTTTTGCATATGGATATCCAGTTTTCCCAGCACTATTTGTTGAAGAAACAATCCTTTTTTCCATTGTTTATTTTTGCCACTTCTGTCAAAGATCAGTTGACAGTGTATGTGTGAATTTATTCCTCCGCTCTTTATTCTGTTCGTTGGCCTGTTTCAATGCCTGTTTCCTCAGAAATAGTTACTATAAGGAATAGATAGATGGTGAGGGCTAAATTCAAAGCTGAGTATAAGCTCTTTTAAGGCTCAAGTTTGAAAGAAGGATATAGAATATAAAATAACTGTAAGTAATGCAGAATTAGCTCTGTGGATAAGCAACTATGCTAATTGCCATTTCAGTTGACTTTAGACTTTTTTCTACTGTCCCATTGCTAAAGAATTTATTTACTGGGGTGCTTCAAATGACAATTTTGTAATTGTTGATAGCAAATTGATAAGCTGCTACTTTAGTTCATAAAAACAAATTGTAGCAATTAATAATACCAACAACAGACAGATTTAATATGTCCTAGATCCTCTTTTAAGCACTTTACATATTTGCTTAATTCTCATAAAGCCACATGGGTTGAAGAGCTGAGAGAGCTTGCCCAAGTGGAAGCGCACATGGAACTGAACTATGTGGAAGCCACAGGAAACTGACAGGCTGTCTGTGCTCTACCCCAGGGGGCAGTAAACTTTGTACAGGGCTGAGCAGTAAATACATTACTCTGTGGGCTTTATGACCTCTGCAGCAACTACTGAATTCAGCCATTGTGGCAACCATAGATAATATACAAATGAATGGGTGTGGCTGTATTCCAACAACTTTGAGTACGGACACCAAAATTTGAATTTCATACAGTTTTCATGTGTCACGAAATATAATTCTTTATTTTTTTTTCTACTTTTCAAAGATGTAGTATTTTCCTTAGCTCCCTGGTACAAAAACAGGAAGTGAGCCAGATTTGGCATTGGGTACTAGTTAGCCAACCCCTGCTAAAAAGTCCCCCAGGATTCTGGTTTTAAGATAAAGCTTATGGGTAGCAGTGGCTGAGTCATCCTGAGGAAGGATGACTCCCCTGGGGTAGGCTCTTGTGTGCAGAATGGCTTCCTCAGAGTCTTTCCCTTTGCCCAGTAAGATGAACCCGGTGCAGTAACAATAGCCAGAGGGCATGCACAATGACAAAGCTGAGGCAAAGCTAACTTTCAAACATTTACCAACTATCAAGGTGACATGGATATCTCTATTCATGGGCTAAGTATTTGTTTCAGGAAAATATACTAAGAACTTGACAAGAGATGAATTTACTTTTATGGCTTGGATATTCCAATGGACATGAATGGACAAGGTGGAAAGTGAGAGAAATAAGCCACTTAGCTAAGTTCTGGGCACGTGCCAAGTATTGTACTAGAAACTTCCTTTTGGTGTTGCACTAAAAGAACATTACCTTCCAAAGGAGAAGCAGTTACCCACATTTTATAGATGAGGAAATTGAGGCTTAAGTAACCTTCTGCAAGTGACACACCAGGTCTTTGACCCTTGATCTACCTAACTCTGAAGCAGGGGTGTTTTAAAATATATTAACTCACAGCAAAAGACTTCAGGGGTTATGCAGCCATGCCTACATGATTGAGGGTCATGGCAGAAGCATGTGTGAGGACGAGAGCTATAGGTTTATAGCTAGAGTATGAATCATAGTCATTTTGGGAAATCATTGGGATCACAGAAACCATTCTGCATGTCTTCCCCAATCATGTTGTTTTATGAAGAAGATGAGGAAAATGAGCCAGGGAGAAGGTAAGTGATTGGCCCAAGTGGGCCTACCCTGATGTAAATATTTCACTCTTTCAATAAAGTTGGTGGCATCATTTGACTATGCCTCTCAGAAAGGTTCTTGCTCTTTTGTAGTTTACCCTCCCCAATCCAACCATATGTTTTCAAGTCAGAAGGCAGTGTGAGCACTCTTTGTCCCTGGAGAAAAGTTAATATAGAACACTATGTGTAGTATCCATGCTGAACTTCCTTGCTCAGAGAAGTGGTGGAAGAAATAGACTAGCTACTGTAAGTAACTACAGTTGTTTAACCATTTCCTGCAGGTGAATTAATCATAGGTCTCATCACTGGTAGAAATGTGTAATAACATTTACTAGATTAAAGTCTCAACTTTTTTTTAAAAACTCTAATGTGTATGTTATGCTAGTCTAATTGCCTGTAAAGTGTTTAATCGGTTCCTGTTGATAATAATAACAAACCACAGCTGTCCAATAGAACTTTCTACCATACTGGAAATATTCTATATATGTGCCATCTAAAACAGAAGTCACTAATTACATATCTATAGGGCACCTGAACTGAGGAGCTAAATTTTTAATTGCAATTTAAATAGCCACATGCCTACTGAACAGGTTCCTTTTGACCTATTCCTTCCCTTAGTGAAACTTTTATTTATTTTTTTTTTTTAAATATATTTTATTGATTTTGTACAGAGAGGAAGGGAGAGAGATAGAAAGCTAGAAACATCGATGAGAGAGTCATCGATCAGCTGCCTCTTGCACACCCCCTACTGGGGATATGCCCGCAACCAAGGTACATGCCCTTGACCGGAATCGAACCCGGGTCCCTTCAGTCCCCAAGCCGACGCTCTATCCATTGAGCCAAACCGGTCTCGGCCCTTAGTGAAACTTTTAGCTAGATGGATGATCAAGAGTAACCTGGAAGCAGATTTTGGAAATATATGTGTGTGTGTATGTATATACATGTGAGTATATTACATTTTTAGTTAATATATTAGAGCAATAGTTTGTCAAGTATCCAAGACTTTATGTGGGAGAATCAATTTAACTATCTCCATCAAAAACATATTACCGGAAGAGCTATAGGTATTTTATCTTCCAGTACACTGCAGGCTTTAGAATTACTGTTCTATGCAACAAATTGTATTCATTTTATCAAAATGGATGGATAACTTTAAATTAGATCAAACTTTTTCAGAGTAAAGGGAAAAACAGAGGAAGCTTTTCTCTTGGCAAATGAATGAAATTTGGGGCACCTAATTCTTTAGGAAGCTGAAGCTACCAGGTATATTAGAGAGCTTAATATTCTATGAGTCTATACTAATTGTTTCTTTCTTTGTTTTTATATTGAATTTACTGGGTGACATTGGCTAATAAAATTACATAAGTTTCAGGAATATAATTCTGTAACACCTCATCTATATATTGTATTGGGTGTTTAGAACCCCAAGTCAAGTCTCTTTCTATCACCATTTACCCCAATTTTGTCCTCCCATCCCCATTCCCTCTGGCAATCATCATACTGTTGTCTTTGTTCATGAGTCTTTCTTTTTTTTCTTGGCTTAATCCCTTTTCACTGAGCCCCCAATCCCTTTCCCTCCCCTCTGACAGCCATCAGTCTGTTCTCTATACTCATGAGTCTTTCTCCATTTTGTTTGTTAGTTTATTTTGTTCACTAGATTACACATATAAGTAAAATCGTATGATACTAACAGATTGGCTATCATCAATAAACCAACAAACAACTGTTGGTGAGATGTGGAGGAAAAGGATCCCTCGTGTACTGTTGGTAGGAATGCAGATTGGTGCAGCCATTGTGGAAAGAAATTACTTGAAGTTTCCTCAAAAATTAAAAATGAAACTGCCTATGACCCAGCAAGTCTGCTTCTGAGAATATATGCAGTGTTGTTTACAGTAGCTATGATTTGGAAGCAGCCCAAGTGCCCATTAGTAGGTGAGTGGATAAAATAGCTGTGGTACATTTTATCCAGCCGTAAAAAAGAAGGAAATCTTACTTTTTGAGACAGCAGGTTGGACCTGGAGAGAATTATCCTAAGTGAAATAAGCCAGTCAAAGATGTACTAATAGTTTCAATGGGGAAATCCAATTCATTTCTGTATTTTTTAAAATCTCAATATCAAGAACATACCTTTCCATTATTAAATAATTTTCTCTACCATATTTGTTAATTCCTATACTTCACTCTTAAATTCTTGCCACCAAAAGGTCATTCAGACAGTATTTTATAAAAATAAACGTGACAGTTATTCTCAGCCTGAAAAAAAAAAGAGTTAATAGAATGGCACAGATGAAGAACTTTTCTATTTTTTAATAGCAGAATTAGTACTGGGTAACATTATATTACCTGCATCTTAAGGTGAGGTCTTAGAGGTAGAAGCTGGTGTTTCTGAGGAGGGTGTCCTTGTGGAGTGGCTAGAAGAAGGATCTGGAAGTTCAGACTGTAATAGCAGATTGATCCTATTACCCTCTTGGTCCCTGGCAACAGTAACCAACTATAAACACGCCCAGCAGTGTAGGCAGCTTTTCCATTGGCTCCATTGACACTGAAATATGGGCCTTTCAGTGTAAGAAAGAATTACCTTAGCTAAAGCAGTCAGGAGCCAGTAGCAACAGTATTAAATGCACACACAGCTCAATATTAGACATTGCATTGGAATTATTGCCTCTACCTGGACTTACAGAGCTGTGCCTTGCACCAGTGCTATGTGGGAGCTGGCTATGTAAGAGCCAATTTTCAGGAATTTCACCAGCCCGTTGTTAAAACTGTCAATATTACAAATTAAATGTTTTAACCTTCTGAAAGCGAAGGTGATAAATACTCAAAATGCATCACTTCTTAATTATTTTTCTGCACTTACATAACTGTGTAATGGGGTACTGGTGGACATTAATTCCCAGCCCCAGGCCCGTCCTATCATGTTAGTAGATTGAAATCGGCCATGTGGGGAATGTTTACATTAAGGAAATCAACTTGTACTTGCAAACAAAAAACTGACTTATTGTTTTGTTGCTTTTCTATTTTAGACTTGGAGTTGACATGTTAGAGAAAATGTTAATAATGTAGATTAAAATGAAAAGTGTGCTGTGTCTGTAGCTATTGCCTTGTGAATTACACAAACTTAAAGAAACATTCCTCTGGAATTCAAAATTATTTTGATCCATTAGGACCATTTATTAGCCTTTATAAAGAACTATTTTCACCATAATTATTTATGAAAAAAATTCTATCATTTAAGTTTAATTTTAAAACATGAAGTTGATTTGAATGACTTTCAGGATATTTGCAGATAATATAGAATTAAACAATGTTCCAATCCCTGCAATTACTGCAAAAAACTGGGGGGGGGAAATCATTGCAGCCTATCTAGTTTGGCTCTGTGGATAGAGCATTGGCCTGCGGACTGAAGGGTCCCAGGTTCCATTCCAGTCAACGGCACATGTGCCTGGGTTGCAGGTTCAATCAAGGGGGCTTGCAGGAGGCAGTCAATCCATGATTCTCTTTCATTATTGATGTTTCTCTCTCTTTCCCTTCTCCCTTCCTCTCTGAAATCAATAAAAATATATTTTAAAAATGTACTTTAAAAAATTCCTTGCAATGAGTACTTCTGAAGTGGAAATAAGTTTTAGTTTATTGAAAATACTTTTTGAGAATGAGTAATAGTTCAAACCACATATCAAATTTAATAATACACTTATTGGGAAAGTGTTAGTGGATTGGTATGCAACTGCTTTCATGAAGTCCAACTATAGGTTGGCTTTGGATAAAAAATTTAGTCAAAAAACAGCAAAAGCCTCCTGAGAGTGTCAGTTGTCTATATGAAATTGACAATAAAAGTACTGTATATTTTATTATTATCTATCAATGGTGTGCAACATATTCTTTATCTTAGTAAAATATGTAGCACTCTTATGTGTATGAACATGCCCATGTAAGGTGTTCTCTTCCTCCTTGGAGAGCCAGTTGTTAAGCATTTACCAGCCTACCCCTGGCTGCAGCCTGAAGGGCAGAGGTGTCAGGATATGGACTGGCAAACCAAAGGTTGTGTGAGATGGGATTTTTAAGCACATAAGATAAAAATTCAAAACTTTACCTTATTGGCCTCTGAAGGCTCCTTTCTGTTCCTGTTCTTCCGGGTTCTGGAAGCAGCTACCATAGGCCCTTAAGGTTCCTGTGCTTCTGTGACTGTTGACAGTCCCTGCTTCACAGTCCAGCCCTCTTTGGAGAGTCTCTGAGACTTAAAATCACCACTATGCCCCATTGAAACTCCTGTCGGTCAGAAAGGAAAGACCTATTATACTTGTTAGAAGCAATTTGATTAGAACATAAACACTGCAAAATACTAGCATTTTGCAATGGGGCATTTTTACCTGAAAGTAATCTTTAATAATAGAATATATGGGAGGTTTAAAAAAATAATAATAAATACATATATTAATATTTGTAAACTACAAGTGAAAAGAAGGAAAAAAAATCACCTCCCACTCAGAGAGAAAATCATTGTAAATGTGTTGGTGTTTACTTTCCAGGCTGTTTTCTATGCTTAAAAATAGGATTATCTTACATATACTATTTTGTAGCTTGCTTTTTAAATTAATAAATATATAGAGTGAACATCTTTTTATTAACTATTCTAAGTCAACAACATTTAAAATATATAATATATATATATATATATATATATATATATATATATATATTGATTTCAGAGATAAAGGAAGAAGCAGAGAGAGATAGAAACATCTATGATCGAGCCCACAATCCAGGCATGTGTTCTGACTGGGAATTGAACTGTGATCTCCTGTTTCATAGTCAATGCTCAACCACTGAGCCACAACTGGCCAGGTACCAACACTATCACCATTTCTGATAGCCACAGAGCATTCATTTGTATGATTATTCTGCATTTTAGTTACCTATTGCCATATTATTTGTTTCTTCATTTTTATTATTGCAAACGATATTTAAATAATAATATATAATTAAAAGTTTGCTTACATTGTAGACTGGTATCGTAGACACATTGTGAAATAGACTTGATGGAATGAAGTTTTGAAATTACTGATAATTATGGTAAGTTGCCTCACAGGAAGTGTATAACCAATTTGTACTATCATCAATTGGCTCTGAAAGCTTGTAGAACTATCCAGAGAGAGGTGTGCAGTGATGTACAATATCACTGTCAATCTCTCTTTTTTTTGGACCTGAATTGAAGACTAAACTATAAAGGAGGTTATTCTGAGTGTTGAGTTTATGGGCATTTTTTTTGCTTTAATATTCCTTATGTATAAGTTGTATCATTTTTTTTAGTGAACATCAAAAGGAAAGAAGGCTCCTGTTAGTTAAAAACACACACACAAATAAGCTTGGTTACTTAATAAAACTCTACCATTAACAAAATTAAAAGGCAAATGACAAACTAGAAAGATATTTGCAACATCTTTGATAATGGGTTTATATCCTGCACATAAAAAATATAATAAGTAACATGGAGAAGTGTTTTTTATGGCGATTCATCCTGTCCTTTGCCTCCTCTGCACTTTGCTCTGTCACTCCCTCACTTATCACTTTACACACACACACACCTTGCTCATACATAGTCACCCTTAGTTACAACTTACAACCCTATGTCCACACACATTCACTGACCACACCTATCCACCCAGTAATTTGATACCACACCTTTGAAAGGCTCTGTTCAATGTCCTCACTTATCCCAGGCTATATACATACATCTTCTTGAGTAAAACCTTCAATAATTGCTTTTCATATACTGTTCCCTCTATTTGAAATTCAGAGGAGATACAAAATTGAAGTAGGTGGGTCCTGTTACCTACATGAGAGATACCCCAACAACCATTATTAATACATGCAGGTGATTATTGGTTTTCCAAAATGTAATAATCCCATCCCCCCTTGCTAGTGGTTTAAGAATGAGCGTGACAATCAACAGAGTGAACAGGCAACCCATGGAATCGGAGAGAATATTTGCAAACCCTATATTGGATAAAGGTTTAACGTTCAGAATATGTAAAGAACTCCTGCAATAAAAAGCCCAAGTGACCCAATTAAAAATTGTGTTAAGGACTTGAATAGATGTTTCTCCAAGCAAAATGTACCCATGGCTAATAAGCACATGAAAAGATGTTCAACATCAATTATCAGGGAAATGCAAAATCAAAACCACAATGGGCTAATTCCTCACACTCACTATGGTTATTACAATTTTAAAATTTTATTTTTATTGTTGAAAGTATTACAGATGTCCCCCCAATTCTTCTTCCCATGGACCACTTCCACCCCACACCTGCTCATCCAAGGCATTCACCACATTGTTGTCTGTGTCCGTGGTCTGTGCATATGTGCACATAAGTTCCCCAGTTAATCACCTCCCCCAAAATCTTTCGTCTGAGATTCATAAGTCTGTCCCATGGTTCTATGTCTTTGGATCCATTTTCTTGATCAGTTTATTTTGTTCATTAGATTCCAGATGTGAGTGAGATCATGTGATACTTAAAAATACATGTGGAAAAACAAATGCTGGCCATAATGTAGAGAAACTGTATACAGTTGGTGAGATTGTGAAATGGCACAGCTACTACGGAAAAGAGTATGGAGGTGCCTCAAAAAACTAAAAATACAACTACAATATACATGGATCAGCAATGCCGCTTTTGGGTATATCCAAAAAAACACTTCTGAAAACAGAATCTGGAATGGATATTTGCACCCCCATATTCATTGCAGCATTATTCACAATAGCCACCATGGAGAGGCAACCCAACTGTCCGTCTATGGATGAATGAATAAAAAATAAATGAATAAAAAATACCCTCTGTAAGTGGAATCACAGAGTATTTTGTGTGTGTGCTTGATTTATCTCAAGCACACACACAAAATACTCTGTGATTCCACTTACAGAGGGTATACCTGAGGTAATCAAACTCCCAGAAACAAAGCAGAATGGTGATTGCCAGGGTTTCAGGAGAGATGACTTGTTCAGCGGGTATGGAGTTTCAGTCATACAAGAGGAAAAGTTCTAGAAACCTGCTGTACAACACCAGGCAAATGGTTAACAATATGCTACCGGTATACCTAAACTGTTAGGAGGGTAAGTTTATTTCTTAATCAACCAAGAAAAAAAAGCATATGATGTAATTCTGAACGGTAAAATCGAAAGGGAAGTCCAATGAAAGGGAAGTCGTGTGGGGGCAGGTAGGAGATGTTTTCTGGCTCTTAAGAAATCGATTAAAGAAAGACTGGTTGTCTGGAATTGTTGTCCGAGGATAGATGCACCAACAGACTTTCAGGACACATAGCAGACCACCAACCTAACTGCACCTGAAGCTGTA